AGTTCAGTATCAATTCCTTGTGCGTGAGAAGGATTTCAGTTAATTACATCTTAATTTTGCATTTTTATTGTTCATTGTATTTACTTAATAAGTGAATAGTATATTTAGTTCATACATTAACAGGAAGTCCCCTGGAGATCATCTTTAGATGTCATTATCATTTAAAAGTAAATAGTAAGTAGTAAGTTTACTTTTGGACAAGTTTAAATATCAATATTTCGTGGTTGATATTTCAACTTTTTCATTTAACTATATCTTTATTAATAAGTCTATTATTTATGCATTGTTTTTTAAGAATGACTTAATTTGATCTTTTATGTAAATAATTACTGTTTTCTAGTTTTTTATTATTTTCTAGTATTTGCATTAATGGTGTGTTACTGTTGGAAAATTTTTTTTTACTGAGGCATAGGACTTTTTCTTGAGACTCCATTTCACGTTGTTTGTACTGAGGTTAAATAACATTTTACTGAGATTTGGTTACGAAAGTTTTAAAAGTAGAGGCACTTCTTTACGATCTTTTATTTTCTTGGGCCTGGATTTAACCATAGAACATTTTTTTCTTCTGACAACCATCACATACACATAATATCAAACTATATCTGTCTTTTTCCTATATAACTATAAAAAGTTTAATGTTACATTGTAGTTAAAGCCAGTGGTGGTCCAGAAATCCAAAAGAGTTTGCTGAGGGAGGGACTTAATTTTAAGGATAAAGGGTCCACACCACCTCAGCCCAACCATGGTCATGCCGGGGTACAAAATGTTATGACTATGACACCTCTAAATGGCACTCTCAGAATTAATATTGTATTTATCCTTTTTCTATTTTTTTCTTATTTACTGGGGGGTGGGGAGAGTAGGGCCTGGCCACTTGACACCCCCCTCCCCTTTGAATCTGGCTCTGATATCGCAACATACTAATGAACCGAACCAAAATAGCAGATAGATTTGACAGTCAAATTTTTCCCAAGATATATTTGATTGGATGTATTTTGGTTAAAGATTTACTGCCTGTGTTAAAATCTGAAAAATGCTCAAACCTTTAAATAAAACTTTAAATTAATTACTTCCAATAAGACACAAATTCAAAGAATTGTAGTTTCCACTGACTTGCCGTCTTTCTTAACAAATTTTATTTTTATTTAATTCCAGCCATTATAATTGTTCATCCAAATGGTGTTTAAGTTGCGTATATAATATTTTCTCTTTTTTTTTTTTTTTTACTGAAAGCTAATAACGTAGCATGTACTTGACAGTGATAAGCTGTGCAACAAGAGGGGCTGAACAGGGTGGGGACTGAAAATTTGGAGTTTAGCAGTGTGGGTAAGGGAAGTCCTGGTGAGGGTTCAGAGGACTAAGATCCGTGGTGCCTATAATAACTTGGCAATTTCAGAGAATTTTCTGAGATTATTTAGATCATATTTCACCCAAAAAAAATTGTAGACAAATTTAAATAACTTGCTATTTTGGTCACATGAGTCATGGCCGAAGGGAATTGGCCTGTCTGACGGGGGCTTAAGCGCACCCTCCCATTGGCGTCACCTCTGACACGTAAAGCCCCTTACATATTGATTATTATCGTTTAACTACGCAGTACAGTAAATCTTATGTTTCGGATAAACTAATATAGTGTCCTGTTAAAAATGGCTATATTATCATATTTTTTTAAAAACCTCTATTTCCATATTATTGTATATCAATAATTATTTTCCCCATTATATTCATTTTAATGTGGTAATTTAAAGTAGGACTCAGTGTTATTTATAATTCAATTTTACTGTAAGCGACCTGTAGACCACTCCTTTGCTAAGCCTGTAAAAGTAGTTTTTTTTTTTATTGTATTTGTCAATTTAAGTAGTCCTTTAAGTCCCTGTAGCCCTTTGATCTGATTGGACAATCAGGTAGAAGTATTTTCTTTGTTAATTTTTGGTTGCTAAATGAAAAAAACTTTCTACAAATATGGGCCCCTACTAATCACTTAATAATATCTGGTATCTTCTGACTTTTACAGTAAATTACACAAAGGTTAGTTGGGAACTGTTAAGTATTGAATAGTTTGTCTTATACCAGCATCAATCTGAGAGGTTTCTGTATTGCTACTTGATAAACAGAGCCATCCATGCTGAATAGAATATTCAGTTATTAACATAATGATGGTATAAAGAGAGTTTGATTGACAATTACCTCATCTCATATTTTGACCTATACAGAAGCCATATCTTCCTCTGTTTGGGATGCTCAATATCTCTGGTAATATTTGAGTCTGTGGATTTTTTTTTTTTATGTGCTCATAAGAGGTATTGAACTCAACGTGCATGTGTGTGTGTTTGAGTCAAAGTACATTTTGATCTTAACTGTACATAAGTGCCGTCCAAAGTTCAATATAAAGCTATATTGACTCGCTTGGTTTTTTGATCAAGTCAAAAGCCAAACCTTGCATTCTAAGAGTCGGTCATCAAGTATGTTATAGTCTTGGTAAGTTTCTATGCTGTTGTCTTTCTCCTGTTAATCTGTAGACTGTATACCTTATGACTCTTGGCCTTGGCTTAGTATTGTCTTTTGTATTGTAACATTCTCAATAGATCTGATTTTTTTCCTTTGAAGGTGTGTGATTTTGTTAGAATCTCGCTAAAGAAACTTTGAAAGGGTCTGTGTGTGACCTTGTTGATTTTCTCTAAGATAGGAGCCTTGATAGGGGTGTATTTAGGGTATAACGTCTTTGGACTTTGGTTTCTCTTTGTTAATATCTTTAAACCTGAGCCATTTTTTGTTCTGCTTAGCACTCCTTTTTAGTTGTTTGATAGTGCTGTACTAATATCAGTATAGTCAAGGTGTACTGAGAAATAAGGCAAAAAACTCAAGGTATTTAAATTTATACTTTTCCATTGTTCTTCCAGCAGCAAGATTAATGATAGGAAACTGTACTTTTAAGTTGTTAAGACCATGGAGGTATTAAACCTCCAAGATTTACCAAATCAAGAGTTGAAATCACTTCAATTTAAAACCCTTAATAGGATGGTCCCTTTTAAGGGAACGCCTCCTTAAAAGGGCCATTACAATTTTCTTGTCCCACCAGAGAATATCCTTTTCAACAGATCATTCCATTAAGGGACCATGTTTTTCCCTGCCCTGAGGATGGGTGCTGGAATTCAACTGTAATCCTCACACTTACACCAATACAGTACCTACAATAATTCCTCTTTAAATACCAGCTTATCACAGGCACATTGAATATTTATTTCAAAACAGTTCTACTTATTTCTTAGTAATAATATCCAAAGGAAACACAAAGATGGATAGAGTACTTTAGGAAATCCTGTTAGTATTTATTTTGTTCATCATATAACTAAGGAACGTAGATCATACCTGTTTTAATTAGTGATTAAGATTTTCGTTTTCAAATCTCTGTAATTCTGCTAATATTTTTTTTAATTTCTAGAGTGGTTTTTACTCTGTGGGGGTAAGTTTGGTCCCACAAATTTTAGTAAGGTTGGGCTTCAGTTCCACTCCACTTCCAGTTCCATAAGTATGTACTTTAGGACCAATGTACTGATTACTACCTAGTACTGTACATCATTATCAGATACTTAGCCAGGAAGCTGATTAGGCCCTGTGTGTTCCATAGGTATACTGTATGTCCCAATGACCAGTGTGATAACATGAAGTACTTTGTCGAGGCCAAAATTTATGTATACACTTGAATCACCGAAAGAAATCAGGTTTTTTTTTATATATCAAAATCATTAGCAATTTGACAGCAAACATACCCTTGATTTTTTGTCTACATTCTTACTAAATATCAATAATTGTAATCATAATGATAATTAAAAAAATTAATGATATTGATAAATAATATATATTTCTTGAAGGTTTGAGTATATCAATAACAAAATCATTAAACCTGCGGTACACCATGTGTAAAAAAAAATAACGTTTTTGAGGTAAAACCACTGGTTGGTTGGTTGTCTCTTTGTTTCTGTTAGATTGCTCTGATCATTATCAAGATAATACAGTATATTACATAATAATGATACTAATGATAATTCTGATGATATTGATAATTTTGATAAAGATGATAATAAAAATAATGATAACATTCTCCAATAACAGTAATAGCATGAATACATTTTAAAATAATTATTAATAATATTGGTTAGGTTAATGATGTAATAATGGTGATATTATCTAGAGTGTTTCTAAGGAGTGATGATTTAATTGCTGCAATTCCCCTTGGATACTTCCATGGGAATTTAGCTCTTAAATTGCATATTGTTCACCTTCAGCTATTTACATATCGCATCCAAATTAATCTTCAACTGTTGAATCATCTAAAGTGTGTTAAATGTAGCGTGCAAGTCAGATGTGGGTCTCCTGTGAACGTCACATCCCTCAGATGTATTAACACTTGTTTACATTACATGGGTTTGTCAACAGTCAGCGTATCTGATTGTTTTCTCGCTTATTAAAGATTTCTTTATTTTTGAGGAAAGTAGTCTTGTTATCCAATTACTGTGATCAATAGAATAAGAAAGGATTTTCAATCGCACCTTGGGAATGTAGGCAGCTGACTTGGATTCGTTCACAGCTATGCCTTTCAAGTGTATGCAAGCTATTGTTATACAATGTCAGAATCAATACTTTGCCAAGAGCCAGTTTGCTAGTCAGGCATCTCTTCTCACTTCTGTATCTATATAGCTGGCATGCTTTGGTTGTGATTTCATATGACTCAGTATTGTCTACCGGTGATAAAACCAGGTTTTTTTTAAAAGAGCAGACAACGCCGTTTAACTGATTGACTTTATCATATCTGCCTTAAGGTGCGTTGGATTTCTGGTTTCTAAAGGGCATTATCTGTGAACGGTGCACATAAGTACATTATCCTTATTCAGGCTTTTTTCCAAAATTGCATGGTTTGTGAGTACATCTTTAAGTTGTATTGAAGCAGTTATAATCTTTGTATATCCAAGGTTAAAGTTAGGCTGTGTGTTTTCTTTCAGAAACCAGTCGGCATAGTGTATTTTCAATCAAGCAGCACTGGCTATTGAACAACACCAGTCAAGCAGTTATATATGTTCTTTACCGTTAATTCTGTGCAATAGAAGAACCCAAGCAGACAACAAGGAAAAATGTCTGAGGTAGATGATCAAGTTATACGGCAGAAACGACGAAGAGTCGATGTGGGTGTGCCAAGGAGTATTCATTCGCAAAACAAGCTGCATTCCACCGCTATGATCATGAATGGAAATGTTTCTTTGACTTCAGCAGACACCACAGAAGTCCTACGCAAGCTATTGAAACATGGCCAGAATCCAAGTGATTTGGAACAGACATTTGCCGAGAAATCCCATGAAGGATCGTCAATTATGTCCCATCTTTTAAAAGCTAAAATGCAGGCAGCTAATCAGGGAAATCTAGATATGATGCAGCACTCGCCGTCGAGTCTACCGTCTGATATGATGCATGAGATGGATGCTAAGGAAACAGAGAGTTTACATAACAATGGACAATATAATTCAGAAAGATGCTGTAACGGCAACCAGAGTCCGGTTTATGAAAACACGCCAGATAGTGCCGAAGCCAAAAGGGCACGAGTGGAGAACATCTTGAGCACTATGCGTCAATCGCCGCTTCGCCAAATTACAGAACCATCAAACACACCTCCTCTGGAATCTCGTCGACAAAAACGTAAACAGTCTCAACCTCAGCAACAGCGAGTTCTGGACGAACGAAAACAGACGCGAAGAGAAGAAAGACGTAAGTTAAAAGATCTTTTGTATCACCTTCAACAACAGCTTGACATGCTACAAGAAAAATATTTTGACCTTTACGAAGATGACAACAGCAGCTTGTCAGACAGCTCTGATGACCTAGATGACATTCGTGAATCGCCGATTCAAGTGCCTAACCTAAGTAAAAGTTTACAAAAGTTGACAGCAGCCACACAAAAATCTGGAAAATTTACTGATGCACTAAAACAAGAACTTACTAATGTTGTATCGGCCACAGTTGATTCTGTCCTTAGTCAGTTCAAGCCGCATCCGCCATCTGTACCCGATTCCCAAAAACCTTCCAAGCGTAAGCCTGTCGGAATGTCAAGCCCAGTCAACAATAACAACAACCATTACAATGCTGATAGACCTTCCCCTCCCCTACACCAGCAAGCTCCATCTAAACCTTTACCACGTGTTCATCATGATACACTGTCAGAACAGATGGAAGCTATCCCTCTCATTGTGCCGCATCGTACTCGTGTCCGTGACACCAATGTTAGCGCGGCAGCTTCCATCCGACATCGTAACGAGTCAGAATATGAGACGCCACTACCATCCTCATTGCCAACTAGTGTAGCAATTCCAAACCCTAGCCTGAACCAGTCCATGTCAATGGTAATGATGCATGGCGCAGTACCAGAGAGCCGCGATGTACTGGAAGATATGAGGTAAGATTACACACCATTAATCTTTAATCATTTTTATTTTATATGATTTTTACAAATTTTGATATTTTTAAGATTGCATGTAACACAAAACAAATATATTACGGGATCTAATGAATTTATTAAGTGCATGTAAGACAGTTTTTTGGAAAGATACTGTACATCAGAAATTCAATGAAAAATTTAAAAGATCAAGTAAGTTATTAACTTCCAAAATTTATTTCTTTTTTTACTGATTTTTTATAGATATTTTACTTTTTAAAAAATCCTTTAATTGAATGACCAGCCAATTAAAAAAGCTATTAAAATATATAGGAACTATCATATTATTTTTGTGTTCAATAAATGGTGGGAAAATTAGCATTATAGACATTCAGAAGCTAAAAATTATATTTATAATTTTATTTTTCTAAAATTTAAATAATAAAAACTGAATTGCACATTCCTAGTTATCAAAATCCGATGAAACACAGAATGAAACAATTAAGTTTTCTTAGTTACTACAGAAAATCTATTTAAACAAGTAAATTTAGGGATCAGTGCAAAGTTTATAGGAATGTGTTTGTTAATTGCTGAGGGAAATATGTTCTGATTCTCTTTTATATATAAAAGATAATAACTTATTTAAATACAAAGTAAAGTATTTAAATATTAAAAGGTTATTGTTCAAGTCGATTAGGTGTACACTAAACTGTTTAATCAATACTGCCCTTTTGAATTGTATTATTATGTTACTTATAACGTCTACAAAAAACCATGTTACTGATATGTCTTGTTTGGTTTATCATTATTATTACTTATGAATATGAAATATATGTCCAAAAGTGTCCCAAATTTTTTTCAAATTACTATATAGTTTTCAAATGTTATCAGAATCATAAGAGTAAATTTCTTTTTGTCCAATAATATCCACAGAAAAAATGATTTGTTTTTGTTGTTCCATAGAACAATTTAATTAAATAATAATAATAATTAATAATAATAATGATAAAAATAATGTTTATATAGCACTAATATCCATTTTGAGGAAATGCTCAAGGCGCTTAAGAAAAGAAAAAAAATAGAAAAAAAGTAACCTGAAAAACAATATCCACTAAACCATAAAATATCCTTGAAAATAACCACAGAAATTTAAAAGACACCGGCACTGCATTACTACTCCATTTACCAGCACTTTGAAACACCATTTGGACTTTAAAAAGTTTAAGTTTATAATTGCTTTTCTGTAATATTCTAATTCCTAATGCTAATTCTTTCAAAACTCATATTTACATTACAATAATCATGATTTATTATTGTCTGTGACAAACCGTTATTTTAACTGACACTATACATATATTAAAATTTATTATTGTTATTAATTTTTACTGAACACAAACAATGTTTTACAACAAATAAACATTTGTTGTAGACTTTAATAATGATTTAATTTTTGGTACAATTTTACTTCTACTGTATATTATATTAAAGGTAAAAAATACTTGAACTCTTTGTTATAATAATAATATAATAACTCATTCATTAAAACTAGCATTCAAATTCCATTTATCTTTACTGTATATTATATTAAAAGAAAAAAATATATACATAGTCTTTTGTTTATAATAATAATAATAATAATAATAACTCACTGATTGAAACAAGCATTCAAATTCCATTTTACCTTTAACTTTATTTGAAAGATTATCTGTGCTTTTCAATTTTTAAAATAAATATTTGTTCAAATAATAAGTAAAATATTGATGTAATATGTAGACTATATGAGAAACAAGCAGGTTTTTTACCAGGTAGGGCTATTACTAGATTTGTGAATTCGACTTGTTCACGCGTGTTTGTCTACTAACTGAGATTAAACGAATCGATATAAGTAGGGAGTAATTATTACTAGGCAGTCAGGCATATTGTTAGGCAGAATAGCGTGCTTTGAATTACATGTTTTCTTGTCACTTGCGAGGGAGTTTAGAAAGACAGGCCTGATGTGCAAAAATATCACTTGTTGCCGCGCATCTGATATGATTCCCACACACTCATTCTTGAATCCAAGAATAATTAATACTGCTATTAATTATTCAATTTAAACTACAAATCTCCTATAGTGGTTGTAGTAATAACATTTAAACATTGTTTTCAAATGAAATATAAAACAAAATTTGTGATTGTTTTAGACTAAAAAAAAACTTTGCATTTATTTTTTGTAGCTTTAATTTTCTAAAACATTTATCTGATTAAATAAGTGAAACTGGTAAAGATCAGACTCATTAGCGTGCCAATTTAAATTTGAATTACATTAGTTCCTAACCTTATCTGATGTATGTGCTACTTAAGTGTTTACATTTATAAAGATGTCCAATTAATGATTATCTCATGTGTATTTGAAATTTACTGTACTTTTATAATGATGTTTTTTAAGACTACACTTCCTTATATTGTGGTAATCTTGTCTAATTAAATATATTACATTTATAATTTCCTGATTATTTCCCATTACTATTCATTCTCCTTTAATAAAATATAGTGTAAATAATAAATATCTAAAAATTTCCAAGAAATTGTCATGTAATTATCTTTCCTTCATTCTTTAGTTTACTTAAAATTTCGAAATTTAAAAGTACAGGAGGAAATGTAGAAGGTAACTTATTCCTCTCATAAACATTTCCATTCATTTTTTTAGTAAATAGAATGCATAGAAACCACAGTACATAGTTTGAAGGCCTGTCATTTTGTTGTAAATTCAAAACTTAATAGGACAAGAGGAAATTTAGAGGGAAATTCCTTGTTATATGTGGGACTCGGTTTTTCATACAAATTCTTTAGCAAATCTTAACAATGTACAGAAACTACAGTAATTATATATTTCTAAATATATATTTGGAAGTATCCATCAATTGATGAAATCAGGATATTGAGAAAGAAAATAAGTTATTAATGTTATAAATATGTTCTAACTTTTTGTAAGTAATAATCTTGGTTATTCAAATAAAAACTATTTCATATTGAACCAATATATTGGTGAAATTAAAAATAATAAAAAGATTGCAATTGAGTAGTCAATTCATTTGTACTTAAACTGGTATAAATACAACACATTATGAGGAACAGTATTTTGTCATACAAAATAGTAATAAACATTATTTCATCATAAAAGACCTCAATTCATTCTAAGCTTTTTTGGGTTGTGTACATGGATAAATGATATTTAAAATGAACACAATTTTACATGATATTATGCAGACCAATATCAAATGTCCTGAATTCAACCTAAATTTGATACCAGTATTTTATAGTGTGTCAGAATAAAATGGAGCGAATTGGCTTATTTGGAATGCATCCTCATTAATAAGTAGCGCGTTCAATTACCAGCATTTTACATTTCTTTAGGTATGGTATTTAGCAATTGAAGATGATACTAAATTGATATTATTTTAGCAATTTAGATGCAGGTTTTATGCCGTGTGTATTTAGAAAGCTTAAAATGTAAATGATTTGAGTGAGCGCTGAATTATTTATCCAAGATGGTAGAAATTGCTACCAGGAACTTCAACTGAATTGACTTAGTAATCTGATCATTTAACAAAACTTCTTTTTTTTAAAGTTGGCAATGCGATGGATATATTTTTTTAATCAGAAAATATTTCTCTTTTATTGTTACATTTAGTTCTTGTTATGACGACTTTTAATGCTTCACTGGAAAAAATGAGGATTTTATACTAGTCCCAATAAAATACAAAACGTATTGTTTGCATTGAAGTTAGACTAATTCAATGTGACCAAATCTCCGAAACATCGCCTAACGTGTTAACAACGCTATAAATCTTGAATACAAGGACAGTTATTAAGTAGCAGAGTTATTCATGGTTACGGTGTTCTGCTTTCAGTCCCACTATTTTAAATCTGGTTTCTACCGCCAAGAAACGGTATTAAAAAATATATATATGTCCATGGGTAAATATAGAAAAGCTTAAAAATTCAACTAAAATATTAAATTTAAAATTTAAAGATAAAACCAAAATAAATTAACAACTCAGTAGGAACAGTGATAGACAATAGATAACAGTAAAAAAAAATATTTAAAAAAAACTAAAATTAATTAAAGTAAAGTATATAGGCAAATTCTAGGTTTATTACTTGAAGATAATTCAATTAAAATATTGAATTTAAAAAAGATAAAATAAGTTAGATACAGTGTTCGAGATTAGATAACATCAAATAAAGCTAATTAAATTAATATGTTGGTTTGTAGTAAACTGTGGGTTATATTATTCTAATGCCAAGTTTGTTACAATAGAGACAATGTACCTTTTTCCTAATCCTTTCAATGTAACGTTTAAAAGCATTAGTAAACATCCTGTAAATCAGTGAGCTATTCGCCATTAGATAAGAATTAATTTTTTTGTACCATGTGATAGGATATGATCTATTAGGTATACAATACATAGATAAATACATATTGAAATGATTCATTATTTCACAACATGCTACTTGTTATAAACACCAAGGTATTTTTGAATTCCCCAGAGTTTTTAAAAATGGTATTACTATTATTAGTTAATTGTAGATATTTAAGCATATATGTTTTAGTGTCAATTAAGTTACAGTACTGTGGTTATTAAACAAATACAACATCAAAAGGTATTTACAAGTAAAACGCATCTCACAGAATCAAAAGGATAGGAAAGGCTGTAAGTGCAGTCATGCATTCCAAACTAAATGAAACAGAACGTAGAACTGTTCAGTATTGCAAAGTTACAATACAGTTGCTAATTCCACATTCAATGCCTAATGATATTTATGTTGAAATTTTTTTTCATATTTTTGGTTCATAAAATTTAATTACTATAAAAAATGCTTAACTAATTGATACTAAATATTTAATATTTATTTCTGTCTGAAGTTGTTTTTGGTAGTGGTTATTCAGTAGTACCTAACCATTTTATCCCAGTTCAAATTAAATTCAAGTATTGATTTGACACTAAATTCTATTCCTATTCCACCATTTCATTTTCTGTTTTTCCCTATCATTGCTTCCATCTCCCTCCCTGTTTATAATCCTTCCCATTCTCTATCGTTCCCATTTCATGTCCCTTGCTATCTTTCACTATCCCTAATCTTGAATCTAGAAAATGATGCTTGGAATATGTAGTGCTTCTCATCTTCTACTGCTAATTGAGATAGATTAAGTGCCTAAGCAAAGACATGTTATTGCGGACTGAACGCTCTAGATTTTAAAAGAACATCACATTCCTAAAGAGTTGTTATTTTTTTTTTTGAATACCAACAATGGAGAAAGGTTTTCATCATAAAAGGATGTATGCACAATACTGAACTTAGGAGTTCAGGGCTACCTTTTAATCTCTTTAAGAACTTACTCAAGGAAAATAGCTTCTTCTATTCTCTTCATTTTGTCCTAATTGTATTGTATCCGTTATCATATTTCTCGTTGCAATATTTCTTTTCAAATTGATATTTTGAAGGTCAAGGCTATTTCATTCTTGTATTAAGAGTTTTTTTAAAGGTATTTATGATCTTAACTACCTTGAAACCCTTAGTTAATTTTTCTTTTAAATTTTTAAACCCACATGAATACAAAAAAGTGAGGTAACAACTAAGAGAGGTGAGAACTAAGACTAAACTTAATAGCCATATTTGAACGTACTTTTGGATTAGTTCCCCCACATTCAAGATAGTCAACTTCCAAGAAGGCATTGTTAATACTAGATTGACATAATATACGACCTAATTGGCATTTCTGATGTATTTTTAGAAAGTAGTTCAGAATAGGAATATCAAAAGTAAATAAATTGTCAACCATGATTGTGTGTCTACTTTGAGTCTGACTTTTATTATTTTTGCAAGCAATCATAACATATTCTTGTTTTTCTGTCGTTGTTTTATTGAATTTTCTTTGAAGAAGGCTAAGGAGCCACTTAGATTTAGGCTTAAAAGAATGAAAAAAAGAGACAAGATAAATCAACATGTGAACATTTGCATGGTCTTAAAAGAAGAAGAAAACAGTTTAATGGTGACCGTAACAACTGCCAGGAAGAATAAACTTCTCTCTCATAAAAAGTGCTAGATGAATGTCTACTAGTATATTTTAATCAATTTTAATTAAGTCAGAATAGTAGATACAAGGAAGTAACTGTAAAGAAGTCCATCAAGGAAATCTTTATTCTGTTCTGTTTACTTACAAAGTCTCTGTTTACTTATCAAAATCATCTGAAGATTTCATGAACAATTGCTTAGAGTATCACTTTTATTTTCTTGAAATTGATAGATTAATTTGGAATTACCGGTACACATCAAATATTACACCGAATATGAATCTGTTCACTCACTGAAAATATGTTTCATTGTCTGTGTATATAAAATAACGTTTTTTAATTAAATTTATGTCTTGTTTTTATATTTACATTTTAAACATAGAAATTTAAAAACATATTGAGGCAGTACAACTAATTTTAGAAATTTGATATATCATAGGTACAGTACAATATAATATAACTCTTTATTTTGGAAAGCTCTTTCATTTCCCAAAAGTCCGGATTTGGTAAAAATATATATGCTTAATTACCATATGACATGCTAATTTTTGTTAAATAAAATAAGGAAATAAGAAAGATTATATCTTTTATCAATAATAGAAAAAAAGACTAAAAAACACATTTTCGTAAATTTTTTCAAACCTTAAAAATCGCAAAGGTCAAGCTAATGATGTCATCACAACTTAAACTGCAGAGTTCACAGTGCAACAACACTACATGCTACCTGCATGAAAGTCTGAAGGAAAATTATAATAAAACACTAGAAATTGTAGTGTTCCATATTTTGCAACCTCAAAACACAAATTGCAATTAACACCTTTTTCTATACCTTTGCTGTTGCTTGTTTGAAAACGATTGATCGGTATGTCTCTTTGATAACAAAAACAAGGTTATTAGGATTGATATGTTTGACCTTTCCAGCTTTTAGGATTTTCAAGCCTCTTATTTGTAAAATTCCTTAAAATTACAATTTTAGTACTTTCTGGCTTATAAAACCATCCAACCCATAAAACAGTCAATAAAACACAGATATTCTGCAAAAATAGATTTATTCAGCATGTAATATGATTTTAGATATACTGTAAATAAAGCATCATAGTTATTATTATATTTATTATTATTATTATAATTATTATTCATATAATATTGTTATTAATATTGTACTATTATGCTTTGAATTCTGACCCACCAAATGTCTTTATCAAATTATAATTATAGTTATTCTATATGAGAGAAATTTAAAGTTTAAGCATTTTAAGATACTACCTGGCTAAACTGAAACTATAAAAATCATACGATATGCAGCGTAAATTAATAATTACCCTACACAGGTTGTAAAATTGCTAATCTTGATTTATTGTTTATCAGAGACAATATCTCTTTCTCAGAACATGCATTTTCATGTCTGAAAAAAAAATTTATGAACAGCTGCGAAGAATTATAAGTAATGGAATTGTTTCCCTTTTTGAATATCATATTTGTAGTCAGATGATGATTGGCTACAGGTGGTGGCGTGCAAGGCATTGCAATAGGTTGAAGGTTACGAATCCTTCACTTGATTTCCCGATTATCCTTAATTTTAACTGCCAGAGTATTTATGCTCAAAATTCCTAGCATACAGCATCAGTAGCCAATCAGATGCCCTCGGAATATGATGGAAATATGTATGTGGTGACATCGTATCGTATTGGAACTCGTTGACATTGTAAATTATAATCTCATTTGTTATTAAGAGTCCATCATTAATTGATGATAATGGCTGGATTTTGATGTTTTTAAGTTTTCTATGGAAACGATTTTAATTGTATGAGAATATAACAAGTTTTATATAAATAGTAATTTAATCCATTTGTGTTTTTTGGGCTTTTAGATAAATAAACACCAATGGAAAGAAATATATATTGTCTGTTATGAAAGGCCATTATAAACACTATATTGCACATTTAAAAAGATTAAATAAGTTATAAAATGATCAAAACATATCAATTTTCCCTGCCTTTTTAGGATAAAATATAAATGAATTACAAGCTAATGGTCTCTGGACAGAAATTTATAGGAATGATAGTTTGTCACTGTTAATTGACTACAACATTTTTTTTGTCTAATTTACGATTGAAAGCTAGTATTATAACTTACTTTTAAAATTATATAATAGATTAAAGCAATTTTATGTTGATTTTATTATTCTAAGGTCTGCAAGAATCTATATCTGTATAATTATATAATTTATAGATAAGCATTTTTTATTCCCATGATGTATCAAGGGTAGGGGAGTCAGGATAGGAAGTAACAATTATAACAATGAAGGCCTATGGAGGAGTATGTAACACACAGATGTGAAATAAATTCAGTTTGTTCACAAAGTGGAATTAATTAGGCCTATATTTAAAAATTTAATTAGGTTGACTTTGATTATTTTTGCATAAACATTAAAGCAGTGTCTGGGTTTTCAAATGTATTAAATTTACAAATGTAAAAGTCAATATTTTAAATTCTGATAAACATATTTTAAAGACATGAAAATATTGTACAGAAATTATGCATTTTTTTTTATCATATACTCTATATTGTATTTTTTTTTTTTCTTTTTCAATTGCTAACCTTCTTCAGATATACCTCTGCACATTTTTTCCGACCGTAAGTAACTTGATGACTTCATACTATCGTGGCAACAGCTGGTGGAATGGAGGGATTTTTTAAAATTTTGATGTTGTATTTTTGTAATCATTTGCTTGCGGTATTTATGTGTTATGTGACCATGTTGAAATGCAGTTTTGTGGGAATTTCTTTGGCTCAAATTACTGATAGGTTTTTACCAAAATTTGAAACTTAATTTTTTGTGATAAATTAAGTTTACATACAAAATCTTTTGATTTAAATAATTAGTTTTTCTTTATAAAAGGGTTTTGAAAGTTGTGTGGTGTTTAATAATATACTTATACTTAATTTTGCATGTATTTTTTTTTTTTATTTCTTAAATCAGTTTACAATATTTGCCTTTCAATTGTTATTCAGTTTATAAGGCAGGTTCCATATCTTTGGTCTAACCATCAAATGTAATTACAGCAAGGATGATATTTGATGAGACAAAAATATATATTTTTTTCATTTGTTTGTGGAAATTGGAGCTTGCATGGAAGGTTTTGAACAATGTGGTATTTGCATAGAATGGATATTGCTTAATTAAATGTCTTATGTGCATTGCTGTAAATATTTAATATGGTGTTATATTGTTTGCTATATATATTTTGAAAATTACATCAAGTTGTATATTTATATAAAATATATACATATATGTTTTATACAGATACATATTCCATATTTTGGTTGTACGTGTATACATCACACTTTGGTTCTTATTATTATTCCCTGTTTATTTGAATATTATGTTATTAATGCCAAATGTGAATGATATTTTACATGTCTATGTAATTATTATTGTAATAGTTTTGCAATAGTTATGCACTGCATACTACCAATAATATCTTAATGATATGTAAAAATCATGAATCATTTATTTATTATTATTTGTGCTTTATTTAGATTGTTATTTTTAAATTGTCATTTTCTGTTTATAGGTTCTCCAGTAGTCCACTGATGTCACACCATGCGGCCAGCATGGTACAGCATGGGGAGCCTGGTAGCGCTGATACCCCCCACTATGAGGGTCTCACAGTACCAATGGTCAAGACAGATTTGGGCGATTCCGGTTATTACCATGACGGATCCACGGACCTCTCCATCTACAACGCCGCTAATGGAACAATATCCTTTTTTTATGTTGCTTAAATTTCCTTTATAATTTTTTTAATATTTTTTTTTTTTTTTTACATTTGAATATTCAACTACTGTTTACTGTATTTCAGTTTTCAGTAAAAACATATAGATTAAAATTGATTATTAATCATATTTTTCCCTAAATTTTTAATATTTTTAATTTAAAGCATCTCACTTTAAATATGGTTGCCAGGAAGTTGGAATGTATTATTGAGAATTTGACCGTCTCCGATTAAACAGTCAGTAAGTTGCCGTGAATGGAGCCTTGTGTCTCCCAGGACAGACTTCCATTAAAAGGTTCTTTTGGTACGGTTCTGCATCATGTCCATTTAATCCTAAAACCTTCTGTTAAATCTATCATATCTTAGAAATCATTGGTCACGTTCTATCGACAACCGTGATATGTGTTCATCTGACACGTTTTAACTTCAAATAAAGCAACCTACTTGCTAAGCAACTCACCATAACCAACAATATTTATTATTATAGCAATACTCACGTAAGAAAAATATGTTTATTAGGTTTAAAGTGGATTTTTACAGCAGTTCATTAAATGACTTCTATTGCATAACTGATGTTAGTTCCAAAAGGTCCACTGAATAATCTCAGATAAGATAATATAATACATACTCCAAGTATCGAAATGCATGCCAACGTGTCAGTCACGTTCTGTCAACATTGCCTTTTGGGGTATAGTCCTGACACGATGGTGTGCATTTGCATTTGCATACTTGGCCTCACAATATGAGCCATCATCAAAGATTTTATAATAACAAGATAGCGTTCTCCACGTTTTACGTGTAACAAATAGAAGCGTCCAATTCATGCAGAAAACAATAGAAAGTAATTATAATTAAAAGAGGGGTGTGCTAGTTGTTACTATGGCGGTGGTTCCAGTATTTTCCGAGATCATAGATGTCAAAGTTCAAAAGTAATTGTAATTGCAAGAGGGTGACCTACACTGCGTTATTACAGAATTTGCACAGATAAAATCGCGGAGAATGCTATCTTGTTATTTTAAGATTTTTGCCATCATGAACACTTGAAAAGAATAGACATAGAGGACCAGGATACTTTTTGCGATATTTTATAGTAATTTTAATTTTCTTCTGTGATAAATATCAGGTTATTTTATATTGCAAATGTGTTTATATATGATTTCTCTTTGTATATAATATATATATATATATAAATACTGTAGCTGTTATGGTAAATTGATTATGATTAATCTCTAAGTTGTATTCCTTAACCTATGTGTACTCGCTAACATCAACGTTGACACCATCCCATTTGAAGAAAGCCAAATTGATGTTCTTCTATACCCGCTACCCAAGCTCGTCAATCCTTAAACAACATTTCCCAGATGTCAAGTTTAACCGCCACAACACATCCCAAATCATTAAATGGTTCAGCAATTTCCGAGAATTCTATTACATTCAGATGGAGAAGTTTTCACGTCAGTATCTCAGCGAAGGAATGGAGAGTAGCGATCAGATCCGAATGACAAACGACTCTGAAATTTTCCGATCTCTCAATCTTCACTACAATAAGAGCAACGATTTTCAGGTATTTAGATGTAGTAATGTTTTAATTCAATTCCAGGTGACATTTATTTGCTTCTGTTTCAAATTCAATCAAAAAAAGAAAATACAGATTCAGTAATAGTGAAGGGGAAATGGAAGAAGGCACAGACCCAGGAAGATAAGAATCAAGGAACTTTTGGTTCATTTCTAGATTTTAGATTGTTTTTAAATGGTGAATTTCCCTCCCCCTCCCTCTTATTAATTTCAAATCTGTTGTAATTGTATTATTCATGCTAATAACAATGACTAATAAATGTTACAGTATATATGGGGAAACAAAATAGAAACAGAATACATAAGGTTATCATATAAGTCTATATCAATTTCTACTAATAAAACCACCAATAGACTTTAATTAAGACAGAGACAAATCCTCTCGAAGATGAAATAATTATTATTTTTCAGATTGTAAGAAATTTCCATTGCTGTTCCTGATGAGAATTTAAAGATCAAAATTTATTGAATCTTAAAACTTTATTTGAACGTTCTGCTGTTTCATTGATGCTATTTAAGTTTATGTTTATTTATTTTGGTTTATGATAACAATAAATCGCATGTATTATTATTATTGTGATTTATTTCTTGCAGGTTCCTGAAAGCTTCTTGTCAGTCGCTCAAGCCACCTTGGTAGAGTTCTTCAACGCAATTAAAGCCAATAAAGACGCAGAGCCCTCGTGGAAGAAAAACATCTACAAGGTGATCAGTAAGCTTGATGAACCTTTGCCTGAGTTTTTCAAATCAGCCAACTGTTTAGATGAGCTCGAATAGAAGCTGTGATTCAGTGCAATCGAAACCTTACTTCTTGCTTAGACGTGCTGGATTTTCAAAAAAACTATCATCCTGACTTGGCTTGACTGTGATTAGTCAGTTGGCGTTAATAATATTTACTGTACATGCATACGGTTGATTGTTTTTTTCTTGTTTTTACTGCATTGCAATATGATAGAGAATGAAAGGTTAAACCATAAGATTTTTGCCTTTGTCTCTTTTATTAAATTATCTGCAGAACTGCATCAAAAGGCAACTGAGATTGATTAAGTCTTTCCATTTAGTAAATATTGATAATAATTATATATTTGAACAAATTAGTAAAACTACTTCTTCCATATAATATCAAGTGCCTAATTATTTAATGTTTGTACTTCTACAAAAATATTTCACCCTGTGATTTTTATATGTCTACAGCATTGTGCCTCTTTTGTATATATTCAAATTAACAGTATGTTGTCGGGTGCGCAATTTTGTTCAACTCAAGATAGATCATGTAATAATGATAAACGTTGACCTCTGTGCCTTATACAATAATATTGGATTGGAGAACTTGGATTTAAGATATGCCTATCCTACCTCAGGAACTGTAAAACTCTGTAATCCAGTATGGAAAACGTTATTAGCAAGGATGCATGCTGCAATGGTATGACCACCCACCACAATATGAGTCGTGTTGCACCACAGATCAAACATGTGACATTGTAACAATAACTTAATACATAATACAACATATATTTTGCAATTAAATAATAATTGTTGATACCATATCTATAAGTGGAAATAATGGCCTTTAAAATGGTATGAAAATTAAATTTGCAAGAAACATCTTCATCGAGTACAACATGCTTCATAGAGTAATCACTTAAAATCTTGTTTATATATCAACAAAGCTATTGTACATAAATATAAAAGTTAAACTATTGTAAATTACTAAAAACCCAATTTTTGCAAAAATTCAGGTTCCAAGAGTTACCTCAAATTCGAATCAAGTTGCAACAGATGCAACAAAACTTGTTTTGTGGTGGAGGTTCACATCTATATACTTTATATGATTGAAGCAGTGTTTTTTTTTCTGGATTTACATTTATAATCTTTACCATTCTGCCCATTATCATTCTAATGAATGATTTAAGAAAGATTAAACTTTTCAAAATGAACTTCCTGTTCTAAGTAAACAACCTCTTCAAATCTCTGATTTTTGTTATAGCACATTTACACGAGGGTAATAAATCTAGCAAAGCTAATAATTTGTAATCCTCAATGTTCTATTACCAAGTATCCTTTAGGTTGAGTTGAGTAGTTTTTAGTGGTGAGAAAATTCAGACTTTTTTAGGATTGAACCTTTGACCTTGAGATTTGAGGATGAGCACCTCACCCTCCAAAGCACAGCTTAATTCCATGTTATTATGCTCTGTTCTTAGTAATCTCATACTTATCTTTTAAGACTATATTACGATCGTCTAATATAAATTGAAATTTGGAGTGTAAGCAAGAAGTTCTTTATATCCAATACTTGAAGAACGCAGTATTATTGTACATATTTATGTAATTATATTTGTCTCTTTATTAATTTTTTTTTTTACATTTTTTTTTCATTAGAAATAGTTTTTCTCAGATGCATATGTATTACTTTGAATATTTAAAATTGATTACAATTTGGGACCCGGTTGGTGGTATGTGCAAAACAGATTACAATTAGTTTTGTTTATAATTATATAATTTAAGATTATTAAAAATTATTAAGATATCCATAAGCATTTATCTAACATTAATTTATTTCGAAAAATGTATGTATAGAATTGAAAGTATTTTGTAAATAGTAACAAATAATGCGATCTTCCATTAGCATACTAGAACAGAAATTGCTGCCTTGTGTCAATTTATTTTGTTTTAGAACTAGTAAACGTGTAAACAGATAATTATAATTTGTGCATGTTTTGTAGTACTGTATTTCCTAATTTGGCGCTCTTTTACTTTTTAAAGACAATTGCAAGTAAATATTTATTGATTTTTACTTTATCTTAGAATATTGCAGCAGTTATGAATGTAATATTTAATTGGTTGAATTGCCAGATGAAAGTTGATTGGAAAAAACTTTGTAACAGAAATTATTACGTAGATTTGTGAGATTTGAAGCGATGTATGGAACTACATTTTATAGACTACCTAGAAGTAATTATAATTAAACATATTTATATAAAGAAAAACAACTCATTTAGTATTGCATTTGTGAATACTTCACATATACATGTGCAAATTGTTTGTGTGCATAAGATTTTGATTTGAAAATAATGCATGAAAAAATAACATTATGTTGTTAAATTGTTGTTCATGTAAAATTATTGAATTTTAAACATCTTTTCCCTTGTGTTCAGATTTTTTATGGATCACTTAAAAATACAGAACTCAATATTTTTATGAATTTATAAACTTTTACAGCAAGAAAAGTTATTGTTATGTTTTTTAAGTTGTGGAATTCTAATTGTCTTTAAATCCTTCAAATTTTGCATTATTATTTTATAGCAATTAGTCTAATGAATATTCATGATTAAAATCCTGTGTGGTATTGACTTCGTAGACATATGACATTTCAGTTATGAATTGTTTATAATTAAATCACACTCATATCAGTGCCTTATCAATATCTAATACATTTCTGATTTAATTAATTTTTTATTAATTAAATGTGAATAGCCTCCATGAGAGTAACGTTTCAACATTTATTTAAATATTTGATGAATATTCATAAGTTGATCATTATCATTCCTTTTGTGTCTTATACAGTAAGGAGATAGTGCATTGATTACTACAGTTTTATATACTGTACAATGTTTAAAAATATTTTTTCTACACATTGCCACTCTTATATAAATATCTGTTCTTTATTATACTGTTGACATTTGTACATATATTCATCTATTCCTCCTTAAGAATCTTATTTCCTTTTTAAGTTTATTTCAAGTGTTGTATCCTGTTGTTAATTTTTATTGGCTCCATCAGCATTATCCATTATTATTTTATTTTTGTTGTATTTTTATTGATGTATTCCTATTATATTATTATTTCAATTAGTCCAAGTTAATAAGTTGGTTCTCTGAGAGATCTCAATTGTGTTTTTGTTGCCAAATTTCTAGCAAAGCTGTCATACCTTTTTTTTTTTGTAAAATTAGTGCATAAGTACATGCATAGCCTTCATGTGTAGCCATGGGCTAGTACTCATGCAAATATAGCAACTATGGGCTAGCATCCATGCATGAGTGACCATGGACTAGCACCCATGTATTGTAACTCATGCATTAGTAATCATGCACTAGTAACAAATAATAAAATATATGTGCTCACTATAGCATCCTATAAACTTATCTCAGAAGTCTGTACCATTACATTAGTTACCATGGGCTGGTAATCATGCTTAAGTGACCTGAGTTCAGCAGTGACGTATCTATGGGGAATGGGCTGCGTTCACCACCACACCCCCCCCCCCCCAGAAAAGGAAAAAAAAGCTTGTCCTTCCACAATGGAAATTTGCTGAACAACAAATTATGCTCAAGTAGTTAAAAATTACATCATATCACCTTATTTTGCAGCTAAATCCTCCAAACTTGATTATCGATCATCTTACTTAACCTTCGCACCTCCCCCATCAGCCCCGGCCCCATGTCAAAACTTATAGATATGCCACTGGTGTCCAGTACTCATGTATGATGTACTCATGTATTAATAACCATGCATTAGTATGATTGCACTACTTCTGATGCATATACAGTAGTACTAACCTGTTAGTAACCAACAACTAGTAGTACTGCAGCACAAGTATTATCATGAGATACTCGTGAGTGTGTGACTATAAGCCAGTACTATTCATGCATTAGTAACCTTTGGCTAGTACCTATGCATAAAGTGGTTTAAATAAAATCGCTACAGGCAATCACTAACAACTGTCTGTGACGCTGATTGGCCAGTCGAATTGGGAAGCCTTCACAATTGTGTTGGGGAAGGCACTGAAACGACAATGTAGCGATTTTATGGAAACCAGTCTGGCAGCCATCACCTATTAAACAAATGTTAGTTACTGTGGGCTAGCACCCATGCACTGGTTTGTAGCCATGGGCTAGTAGGCATGTACTAATATATTTGTGCAACTGTGATGTTATATTGTGTGTTGAATATTATTAGATTTTCTCTAATGCTTTAATTTTCATCCAGTACTTTTTGTCCAAGTGCAATTCAAACGGACCACCATCAAGCTGTTGAGAAATTATATGAACACATAATAATTATATATACTTTCATATACATACACATACGATATAATATGTAGGCAATTTATGTATATGGTCATTTAACTGTTCCCTGGTATAACATATATAAATCATATGTATGTATGTATTTGCAAATGACAGTGGTTATATTGTATATGCATGTGCACAACTCATGATGCATATGAGTGCGTGGAAGTATATTTTGTGTAAATAATTTAAGTTCATCAGGAATTTATTTTGAGATATCGTCTTCCAGGTTATTTTTAAGTTCAATTATGATGCGTTCAAATTAAAGACTAAACGAATAATGACGTATGTAATGATAATCATCTGCTAAATCTTCCACCTTTTTTTAATGAACTGTCAGAACACTCGAGTCGAGTTCCAAATTGCTCGACTTAGATTTATTTCTTCCATAATCCGAGGTAATGGAAATTGCTGTTAAAGCGTGTACAATAAGTGTAGGTTCTTAAGTGAATGCCATTAATAACAAGTAGCGCGAGCCGTATCGTTCTGACGCTTGTACTTTACGTGGCGTCTGCCTAATCATCTCGAAAATCCAATGAGCCGGTGGCCCTGCAAAATCTTTTTATACAGAGAGATTCTGTTTCACAGTTAACTATGCGGTTTCTACACCTAGTCGTCAAATAATAACAATTGCAACAGGAAGGTTTTTGCAATCTTACGATGAAAAATTTTAGTGCGGTTACGTCATACATTTTATATTTCTTTTAGCTAATCCCCTTTCATCAGTCGTTTCTCATTTTTAGGAGTTAATCGTATTCGTAAAATAGAAAAACGGATATAACTACTCTCACATATTTACCACCTGACTCCTCGTAAATTCGAAAAATCAGAAATTAAAAGCACTCGGCACCAGGGTACTGACTATGACTATATCGTCTGCACTGCGCACTCAGTGGGCCATCCTACGATTCCACTATAAGGTGTGGCATCTTAATCAGCGTAAATGTGCGTACAATTCCGTATTTGAGCCTAATAATAACACGTCCTGATTGGTCATTTGACAATCTGGGCCATTAGGTACGTATAACAAACATGTCGTATTCGTTTAATCGTTTTCGTAAACGTTCCGAAAAATTCCTCTTATAATAATAGAAGAGTTTCTTTAGAACAGCGCTTCGTAAAATGTCTACCATATAACATTTTTATTATCATTTACCATATCTCTTGATTTTTGTTAATGAAACAATCTCGAATTCGTGCCTTATCAATGTGTCTCTCTATATACTTTATTGTTCAAATTCATGACTTAATTACTTCACATTAATTATCTCCTGTGTTATACTCAATATTTTACGCAAGACGTGATGAATGCCTTAAATTAGATTACTGTACACAGAAACTCGCTAGTTATTCCTAACGAGAGTTGATGACATTGTTTCCAATATGGTCACGTTTGATTTTTAGCACTGTCCTTCATCAGCATTCGTTGAATCGTATTTTTTCTAATTTTTCATAATATCAAGAAGATGAATGTCTTTCCATATGCGAAAGTGATCAGTGTAGTAATAAAAGGTGTCAAGAGTTGTCGCTTGTAAATTAACTCTACTTTAAGCGTAAGTAGCGATTTTAACTACACATATATGCAAATGCATAATATAGGCCTAGGGCCTAGTTACACCCGACTCGCTAGTGTGTAATTTCGTCTTAGTAGTTATAATTCAGTTATTTTAATCTTTAATTATGTTATTTGGCTTTGTATGAGTTAGGTAAAGTTTATAGGTACGTCTAAATTCAACTGAAATTTGTTTACTATTATTATTATTTGCATTTGGGGATGAGCTGTTGTCACGATTGAATAAATGTTATAAGACATAATATTTTTCATTGCATCTTTGCCTCGTATACTGTATCTATATTGAATATATTGTTGTTATTATCACTATGCCTATATCATCATATTATCATCAAAACCACAGCGCAAACGTAACGTACGTGCGTTTGTAGGACAACAAGCCCTGTTCTGATTCGTCAGTTGTGAAGTTTGATTTACGCTCCGTAAAAGAAAAGAAGTGATGCATTTTCTAGCAAAATAAGGCATGTGAATTACATGTGAACTTTTGTCTCTTCTTAAGGAGAAGAAACATACGGTTGTCTTGTCTTGTTCGGAAACCACCAACTCACCTCATCGTTTCTTTACTTTATAGCCTACTGCCATGAGGGCTGGAAACCTGTGGGTGTGAGTCAAACATTTTTAGGTGACTTGGTTTAAAGTTGAGGTACTTGTTTTAGAAGGACAAACAAATCTTCTATACTTCAAAACAACATAATTACAAGTTAACTGCATTCGTTCACCTCATTGTGGCTATAGTTTATACGTGTTCTCATGCAGTAGTACATA